ATTAAGAAATTTGAACGCTTCTCATCCCTAATTCACTAATTTTTTGGATCTTGAAATAGGAACACTATTGCCGCCCAAGGATTCCCTTAAGAGATATTAAATCTATCCCCCAAATGAATTATTGCTTATTTTAAAATTAAAAAAAAATTTTTTTTAATGTTTGTATTTATTTTTGAGACAGAGCTAGACAGAGCATTGAGCAGGGGAGGGGCAGAGAGAGGGAGACACAGAATCTGAAGCAGGCTCCAGTCTCCGAGCTGTCAGCACAGAGCCTGACACGGAGCTTGAATTCTCAACCATGAGATCGTGACCTGAGCTGAAGTCAGACGTTCATCTGACTGAGCCACCCAGGCACCCCGGATTATTGCTTATTTTAAAATTACATATTAACTAATTATAAGAAGTTTGGAAGTTAAGAGAAATAATTTAAAAAAAGGAAAAAATGTTTTGTAATTCCGCCAATAAGAGTTACTTTTTAACGACATTTTTGGTATATTTCATCCTAGTCTTTCCCTCCGTCTCTCTCTTTCTGTAGTTAATCCATATTGAAAAAAAATTAGGTTTATACCATATGATATTTTTATAATTTCTTTTTTATTCAATGAAACGTTATAGTCATCTCCCCATCTCTATTAGTCTAAAATGATTTTAAAGTCACCATAGTATTTCATTTTATGAGTGGGTCATAATTTACTTTTATTGTTGAATTTCCTTTTTTTTTTTTTTTTTTTTTTTTTGCCATTATAAATAGTGCCATAGCTCTTGAATTTGAAAGCATACTTTTATTTTTTGGCAGTTGACAACAACAAAAAATTCCACTTTGAGAAATAAAATAGTGTTTTTGTTTTTTGAAATGTTTGTTTATTTTGAGAGAGAGAGAACATGCATGAGTGAACAGGGGGGAGGGGCAGAGAGGAGAGAGAGAATCCCCATGCTAATAGCACGGAGCCCCGTGTGGGACTCCATCCCACCAACTGTGAGACCATGACCTGAGCCAGAGCAAGAATCTGAAGCTCTACTGACCGGACTACCCAGGTGCCCCCAAAATCATCTAGTGTTAATTAAGGAGGAACAAAAAGATATTTAAAAGAATAGACAAAATGGTAATGGAATGATTTCACCAGAGTCTCCTAAATGCTGCACTTTTCCTCATCAGTATTTCACTTTACTTTTTTGTAAAGCATAAAGAAAACAAGCCATAAAAATGAATTTCTTATGTAGATCTTTGTATCTCTGATTATTATTTTTTTTATTAACTTTTTATTATGTTTTATTTATTCTTGAGATAAAGTACGTGACAGGGGAGGGGCAGAGAGAGAGGAACAGAGGTTCCAAAGCGGGCTCTGGGCCGACAGTAGCAAGCTTGATGTGGGACACAAACTCACAGACTGTGAGATCGTGGCTTAAGCTGAAGTTGGATGCTCAACCTACTGAGCCACCCAAGTGCCCCAAGCTTTTATTTTAATTCCAGTATAGTTAACATACAGTGTTATATTAATTTCAGGTGTATGATATAGTGATTCAACAATTCCATACATTACCCACTGCTCATTACAGCAAGTGCACTCCTTAATCCCCATCACCTATTTCACCCATTTGTTATTTTCTTAATCAATATTAATTGGTACTCTTTCAGCTACAAGTGACAGGAAACCATTTCAAACTAATTTTAAAAACAGCAGAGGAGACCCTGAGTGGAGAAGTTTGGTGGGCAGGCAGCCTGAGGCTTGGTTGGATCCAGTTCTTAAGCTGTTGGCCTCAGGATTCTGTCTCAGTGTTTCTCCCATTACTTGGTTCTGTTTCCTGTCACTGACTCTTCTTTGGCTGATGGGTTTTCGTTTTTTTTTTGTTTTTTGTTTTTAAATGTTTATTTATTTTTGAGAGACAGAGCACAAACAGGGGACTGACAAAGAGAGAGGGAGACACAGAACCTGAAGCAGGCTGCAGCACAGGGTCTGATGCAGGGCTCAAACTCATGGACCACGATATCATGACCTGAGCAGAACTCAGACACTTAACTGACTGAGCCACCCAGTTGCCCCTGAGTTTCCTTTCTGTGGTGGAAAGGATGGTCTGATTTATATTCTTACAGCTTAAAGCGCCATCTAACAAGTTTATGATCAGCTCTGATTGCGTCACATGATCATTGCTAAAACAGCCACCAAGGACACTATGTGGTCAGACCTGGGTTATTTGAGCCAGGGAGTGGGTGTGAAGAGTTGGGAAGGGCTGTACTGAATCATCAGAGTATGAAAATGGAGATAGTTTTTGAAATGAAAAGGTGATTCTGCTACCCAAAGGAGGGTAAGTGGGCTGGCAGAAATGACAGATGTCCACTATGATCATTGTTGAGATTGTGATACATGTTGCCAAATTTGTGTTCAGGCTGTGTAGCAGCGTTTACTCCCAGTGGCAGAATGTGGAATGCTTGTGCAGTGGGGGTAAGTATGGAAAGTTGATTGGTGCTGCTGTACCTGGACCAAGAGCTTTCTATCTTCTGTATCTCTACAAATAAGCACCATAAGGTTTTCACTAATGGATTTCTTAAATACAAATAAAGCAACCAGGAAATCATGCACCTTTAAGGAAACTTAACACTGAGAACAATCTTCATGAAACTAATTGAAGGTTGTTGTCCTGCATGTCACTGTATTGAAACCTGTATGTCACTGGTCAACACTTGACATCCTAAGCTTTAGTACTTGTCTAGAACATCTTCTCAAACTTTAATGTGTAAATAAATAGCCAAGAATCTTGTCAAAATGCAGGTTCCAATTCACTAGGTCTGTACTGGGGCCTAATATTCTTTTTTTTTTTTAATGTTTATTTATTCTTGAGACAGAGACAGAGCATGAACAGGGGAGGGGCAGAGAGAGAGGGATACACAGAACCCAAAACAGGCTCCAGGCTTTGAGCTGTCAGCACAGAGCCCGATGCGGGGCTCGAACCCACGGACCATGAGATCATGACCTGAGCCGAAGTTGGATGCTTAACTGACTGAGCCACCCAGGCGCCCCCTAATATTCTTTTAAACAGACTTCCAGGTGATGCTGATCTGATTTTCTAAATAGCAAGACATAAGATCAGTGGTTCCCAATATTTTAGCAGAACAAAACAAAAAATCAGGACCCCACCCTCCTCAAAATAACAGTTGCACTTTAGTATCCACTAGTTGAAAAAACACATTGAAAATTACTATATATTCAGAAAAACTTTTACACAAGTTTGTGTTTTTGTAGTCACGACAGCGTCTGCCTACTTTTTGGCACCTTTTGGCAGAACACTAAAGGGCTGAGTGTTAAAATCAATATTTGGTTACGGTTGAGTCCATCTGCCCCTCACCTTTACTTAAATGCACACCAATTTTAGCATCTTCATTGGAATTGAAGGTCAGGAGGATCTTACAGCAGGTATCACATGAGAAGTATTTGAATTCTCAAGATGACTTTTAGTTTGGTTACTTCAGTAGGTTCCGTGAACAAACCGCAGGCACTAAGTTTTGCAAACTATAGTATTAAGGCTTTTTTGTGTGGGTAGAGTAGCCTTCTAAGCACTTAATGTCTGTCATTCCATAGTGTTTGAACATGTTATGTGAGTACCCAACAGGACAATATCAAACTAATGAAGAGCCATGAAATTGCCCTGCTCTCTCTCTCCTTTGGCCAAGGATTTCTGTTACATTGTTCTGTGCTGTGATTACTTTCTGAACACATACTGAAGGATATGAACAAAATACTGTATGCAGGACAGGCTTCTAACTTGTGGGTCCTATGGTAAAATAAAAATGTGGGGCTCTTTGTTAAACATATTAAGAATTTCCAGTCCGTAACAGGCAAGCATTAAACCAGGCCTGGGCTGTCTTGAATACAGGTCTCTGCAACTACAGTTTGCACACTCAGGAAGCTAGCCCTGACTGTGTATGTGATTCCTAAACCATTCATAGCCTACACCTTGCTTGATCCACTGTTGATGGCATTGACATTTTGAAAACTGTTTTTCAGTCTGTAAATCTCTTCAATCAGATTTGCAAGGAGAGAATCCTGGCTGAATTCACCATCAATCCACCATACTTTTAAATTTAAAAGAGATTCTAGTTTTTTTCTGCCTGTTTAGATAGATACCTGATGTACATGATATAGAAGTGGCACATTTAAAATTATCACTGTTTTATGTGTGTGTGTTTGTGTGTGCCCAGCAGAATATAATTCAGGAAAATTATTTTTAGGAGCATATTTTCCAGAACAATGTTGTCCCTAAGATTCATAGTTTGGACATGTCTTAAAAGTTTCATTTCCAACTATTGAATTGAGTGACAATCTAATCAGTCATTTGGATAACAGTCTTTAGCTTTCATAAATAGACTAAACACTGCAAAAAGCTGGGTGCTTGAGCCAGCTTATGTAGTATGTGGTTTTTGAAGTATGACTAGTGAGAACAAACTGTGTTTTGGGTACCTCGTTTTTCTCTAAACTTTTAAAAGATTTTAAAATATTCTTTATTATACCTAGACTGAGGGATGATTTATTACTGATTTTTTAGTATATATATTTGGAGTTTTTCTCCTCATGATAATTTCAGGTTGTAAAGCTGACATTCTGCTTTTAATTCATCTTTACAAGATGTAAGAATTTGCAAATAGGATTTTTTTTCTTGAAAGACTCATGGCATCGCGAATAAAGCTTAAATACAATTCTTTTTTTTTTTTAAGTTTATTTGTTTATTTTGAGAGAGAGAGAGAGAGAGAGAGTGAGTGTGCACACACGAGCAGGAGAGTGGCGAAGAGAGAGGGGGAGAGTGAATCCCAAGCAGGCTCTACACTGCCAGCCCAGAGCCCAACGACGTGGGGCTCCATCTCACAAACTGTGATATTGTGACCTGAGATGAAATCAAGAGTCAGACGCTTAACCGACTGAGCCACCCAGGTGCCCCTAAATAACAATTCTTAAAGATTATTTTATTTAGTATTATGAATGCTGTGGTAGCAATTTTATAAAGCATAGAAGTAATGTAATCTTAACTTTATTAGTTGAAATTACTTTTTAGTATATGTGCTGCCAAAGCAAGCACAGTTGAAATTACTTTTTAAATTTAATAAATAATTGTAAGCCCCAAAAGATATAATATTCTTCATAAACTATTTAGCAAATTTATTCTTTTTAATATATGTATTAATTTTCAATTTATTTTCCTTTTTTAAGATTTTAAAATACTAGTTTTATACATAAAGGTAATGGCCTAAACCACCCATTATTTCAGCATCTTACCTTTGTAGGTGACATATAAACATATAAAGTATATGATTTTCCACCCTCAATTATGCATGTAGTATTTGCAACTGCATATTCAGATATTAACAGCTAATCAAAATGACCTCCTTTTTTGTTACACTGATTACATATGGTGGTTACCAAAGTAATCACTTGATCATGCACAAGTCCAAGGGCACCAGAAATGCCACCAAAGTGGGTGTTTTATTAATTGGACTTTCAAAGGCTGAGGCCAGAGTTGAAGCCAAAGAGCAGATCTTGGTTGAATAATGACATTGAAGCCACACTTTGGGGCTTTTCTACTTCATCTGAAAAATTTAAGTCTTCATATAATGTTTAGAATTCTTCTGGATACAGTGCCACTTTCATAAAAAAATAGGAATAAATAGGAATGATCTTTCCATATGCTAAACTTAGGATTTTACATTATATCTTTTATTATTTGTTCTTTAATGTGTGCTTATTTTTATTTATTTGGTACACTGCTTGGCAGACTTTCTTCAGCTCATTTCTATTTGGATATTCTTCCTATATTTGGGGACAGTGCCTGCATGCCCAAACTTAGTTTGACTTCTTAATTTTTTTCCACTAGAAGAGAAGACAGAGCTTTGTGGCAGCACTTCTGCCTTTAAAGACTCCTCATCACAGTCAGTTAAAAACTGAGTGTTGTTGGGGAAAATCCACAGAGTGATTTGTCAGCAGTTCAGATTTGTCATCAGTTGTGTTCTGCCTTACCTCCTTGAGCTGTGGCATGAGCTCTGTGCAGAGAGAATGAATTAAAAATCTTTTAAAATGTTTATTTAATTTTGAGAGAGAGAGAGAGAGAGGGCACTAGCTGGGAAGGAGCAGAGAGAGAGGGAGACACAGAATCTGAAGCAGGCTCCATGCTATCAGCTCAAAGGCCGTTGTGGTAGCAAGATTACCACCTGAGCCGAAGTTGGATGCTACACCAACTGAGCCAACCAGGCACCCTGAGAATAAATTTTTTTAGGCCTATGTTAGACCATGTTTTCCTCAGACCATTAGCCTTGACTCCAAGTTCCAATTAATTATTTAACTAATTAATAATAAAACACTTATGAAACCCCTTCATCCCCAAACTAGACTATTACTATAGTACAATAACACAATAACATGCTCTCCACTTGTCTCATCCCTCTGTCTCTGAATCAGAGGTCATCACCTGATCCTTGTGGTTTTCATTACACACATATATAGATATCTAAAAGCTTTATTACACACATATATATTGATACCTAAGCAACAAAATGTTCCATTTTCCTTGAGTTTGAATATATTTTGACTCAACATTATGTTTCTAAGAGTCACCATATTGTGACATGCTATAGTTTGTTCATATACAACTGATGAATATTATTTCATTGTATACATTGATTACAGCTTATGCACCCATTCTTCTGTCCATTGGGTTGAGTGCTTGGATTTTTTCCCCATGTTTTTGCTGTTGTAAACAGTGCTGCTGTGAACATTCTTGTATACATCTCCAGGGACATGTAAGAATTTCTTTTGGAATTTTTGGGTTGAGGTTAAGTGAATGTTTAACTTTATAGATGATGCCAAATTGTTTTCTCAAGTGATTATACCATTTTACACTCCTCCCCTGGTAGTGTATAAATGATCCTATTTATCTATGTTCCTTCTAACATTTGGTTCCATCAGAATTCTTAATTGTTGCCAATTGAATAGTCAAATGCGGTCATGATTTGCATTTCCCTGCCTACTAGTGACTAGTTACTTTTTATAAAAATTAAAATTTTGGAACTTTTACACTTTATTCCAGTCCTAGTTTGGGCTCACCTATGCAAATCTGCTTATATAATCCTTTGTACACTTTTCTTCACATTCTCCTCCTCTAAAACCACTGATCTTTTTTGCACGTTACCTGCCTTGCCTCAAGATGCCCCTTATTTCAAACCATACCCTTTTTTCTTTAATAAACCCAATTCCTAACTTGCTTTTTTTCCATGAAAATATGCCCTTGTGAGCATAAATGAACTTAGGTTATTTCATTTAGCCATTGAGTTCTGATGGATCGCTCATAGTCCGCTGGTCAGAGTATAAAGTGGTGCAAGGCATTTAGCAACATATATTAAGAACCTTAAACTTTGTACACTTTGACCTTGTCTAAGAGTCTGTCCTAAACCTTGATTTTATGTCTGGTTGTTGCTGATGGTCAGATAACTTAGAGGGCCACAGATTTATTTGCTTGGGGACAGGGGGACAACTGAGGAAATCTTGCATATATGCCCCTGAGTGGAGAGCAGGGAGACATAGAGAAGACAGTGTAGTCTATGCTCCCCAGCTTAGACCTGGGCACAGGATTGAGAAACCTGGGCAGAGAGCAGCTGCAGGCAGAAGTTGAAATCCTTGCAGAAGGAACTTGATGAAATTGAAGGGCACAAGGCAGTGGGAGGAGCTAGCCATGCCTCACATTTCCATATCAAGCCCCAACTTGGAGATAAGAGGAAACCTTGATTGTTTCATTGATTGTTTTATCCAGCAGTGTCCTGCAGATACTTGGTGGATACTCTGGGGTGGGTAGAGGCAGGGTACAGTGGTTGTCATCTTATTCTAAAACATATGAGAGACTCTTCTTGAGATTCCAAAATATGCTTGGGAAACATTTATAGGTGGCTGACGTCTGTGTTGTCAGGAGAAAGTAAAAGACTAGGGGGAATTTGGGTTCTGTGGTTAATGTAATCTCATTTATAGCTGAGTTTTATTGTGTCCCTGGACCTTTAGTTTGCATGAGAAACATTGAAAAGGTAGAGAAGAGGTTTTTGCCTTAAAATGTTCAGTGTAGTATTTGTTATAGTCGTAAAAAATTGAAACAAAAAACAACCAGAATACTTAGCAATGTTTTATTGCTGTATTTGTCATCAAAAAGTATTTATAAAGAGGGGTTCATGGGTGGCTCAGTTGGTTAAACATTCAACTCTTGATTTCAGCTCAGGTGATGATCTCATGGTTCGTGAGTTCAAGCTCCGCATCGAGCTCTGTGCTGACAGTGCAGGGCCTG